TTTGTGACTTCTCCTTTGCAGGCACTGTACGTTGAGATCCTGATTTTTCCTCGCGTTGATCTTAAAGGCAGATTCTTTTGTATCTGTGTTCCATTTCTTATGTTACCAAGTGCATGGCATCTGTATATAAATATGTATATATATATTTATATATATTCTGCTTGGCAAATGAATAAAACATGAATGCGAAGATGCTGGCTGATTCTGATGAATAGCAATTATATGGAAAATGCTAGGCAACAATTTCAGAATTCCTCAAAAATCTCTGCTTTTAGCAAAAATTTTGGTTACTGTGTCCTAAACATACATAATACATAGAATGGCAAATATTACGTGAATGGTCTGGAGAAAGGTGATCTAACCGAAGAAGATAAGCAGGAACTGCTCAAGTACCATCAACAGACGACCCAGTGGTGGAACAATTTCAATCAACAAATGCAACGGGTGATGAATGTTTTTTGTTTCTCCTCGAACGAGTTTTAGTTGGCACACCTGTACGGCACCACGTAATACCGTACAGGTGTACCACTGGGCCGCTCCACCTCGCTAGTGGCTTCCCCAGTGTTCGGTTGAACGTGCGTGGGTACCACTCCATTATCCGCTTCGTTCATCTGTTGTCTGTCATCCGTGCCACATGACCAGCCCATCGCTTCATGACCCATACATTTTAAAAATAAAATGGACTGGCGCTACTGAACCGAAGAAATTTTTCAATGTACTGAGGAAAATTCAATGCTTGATTTTTGTTTCTATAGATTAGTTTAGTGTTTTTTTTAAATAACTTATAAATGCACATCAAAACCCCTTTCATACTCATCCTTTGTAAGAGACTAGTGTGTCTTACGTAACATCTTACAGAAAATGGATGAAAATATATCCAGGATGATGGACGGATTTCCCGAAATAACCGACGGATTACCCGAGGAGACAACGACTACACGAGAGACCTCATCAAATATTCCGATTAAACTTGTCACTGACCTACCACCATCAGCGTTTAGTACGAACATGTTCCAGGAAATGCCAAAATTACCCAAATTTTGCATTGAATGACCGAATAAAACTGATTAAAAGCATTCTGTAGTGTCATTTTTATCAATAAATTGTTGATTACTTGAACAAGCATTCGCACACAACTTCAAGAAAATCATGGAACGCCCCGCCACTATGTGTGGGTATACGATGCTAGTGATGTTACTGGAATGCTCTCAAAATGAAGGACTCAGCTATGCTAGGCTCTTTGATTACAAGCACGATATTTTCGAAAATTATTAAAATCATCTACTTTTGGATAAGGATTACGGATATCAAAAATCCAAATACATTATCGGTAATTCTAGATCGGTCAATAAGAAATCCAATCCTTTTATGGTAAATTGGTACTGGCATATGTCAATTGAGTAAATGTTAAACCTCCCTTCACTCTTTTTTTCTCTAAAAAATCCCCTGAAGAAACGAACCCGGTCTCTATTGGCAAACAATCGCTGTTGCAAAACAGCTGTCATCCACTTGAAGCATTTTCGGATCTCTTCAAGCTTTATAAAAATGATAAGTAACGGCCATTAGGAAATGGAAAAAAAAGCAAAATGTAAGAATTCAAATTTTTACGAATAACGGCAACGAATACGCTTTTTTCGTATCGTTAAGACGCATTCAAATTCTATTCAAGTATCACTAAAAACTTCCTTTAAGCAAACCCCGCTTAAAACTACCTTTAAGTATATACTCAGTACTTCACTTTGGCATATTCAGTTCCCTTCCTGTACCACTTAAGCGTACACATGTTCTCTCTAAAGTACCACTAAGTCGCCTTCAGCCTTAATCGTGTCGAATAGATCTGCGCTACAGTAAAACGGGGACCGAGTACGGTAGGTGTAATGTAACAGCACATTTTCACAAAAATTTATCATGAGCAATAAAATCGCTAATATTACAACAGACAAAATTCGATCCTAAT